TCAATAGGAATTCTATCTTGCTGTTGAGTAGGCCAAGCCAAGAAACAGATACCACACAGTCTACTAGAATTTTTTGGGGGGTGGTAGTGGTGGTGGTTAGAGTATATTTAAAGATTCTTGAAAGTCTGATAGCATTTCCCTTGACCTTACCTTATGTTAGAGACAATCAAGGCATTGAACTTCTTTCTCATTTCCTCTTTCTTTTCGGGGCTAAATTATTGTTTACTTAACCATTATTGTATTTCTTCTTCATGGTTAGCTCCGTACTCTATGCATACACACCAATGTATATCAGATTTGAGTGTAATTATAATTATAATAACTGTTATTCAAAATACCCTCATAGATGGCCTAGAGCCTTATAAGTGATATCCTTAGGAAGCTCAGATAGTAACAGTCCTCTTAATAATGGTCTTTTCCATTTATTTATTATGTCTTTGTAACAGAAGAAGTTAAATTTTATTTTAATTTCTATTTTGTTTTGTAGCCCTCATCAGTAGATGACCGGCAAGGCAGTCGGCCAAGGTCTATGGTTCGATCGTTCACAATGCCGTCATCCTCAAGGCCACTATCTGTTGCTTCAATTTCTTCCATCTCTTCTGACAGTGCTCCTTCTAGGCCTGGCTCAGATGGGTAAATGCAACTTAATATGTTCTATAGCTCTGTTCTGTGCCCTTTTCTTTGTCTTTTTAAAAATCAAATCTAAGTTATAAGAGGCTATCATGATGTGTAAGATATAAGAGGTCTATTTTGCTAGTTCATTCTGGAGCTATTTGATTTTATTTCATAAAACTTTACAGGAAAATTGAAAATCACTCTTATATCTAGATAGTGAAAAAAATATTTAGCTCAAAGATTCTTATCAGCCTCTTTTTATCTCAAATATTAAATATTAATATTTAAAATTAAAATATTTAAAATTCACCTATTTAATATTAAAACATTAAATGGTTAGGTGAATTTCTTTACTGGTTTTGTTCATTTTGTTTTATCGCTATTTCTGTCTGATGTTGCACACACCATGTCCCATGTCCCTGTCCCATTGCACAGAGGAAGTGGGAGTAATTACCTACATATTGATGGAATGCAAGATTTTGACCCAGACACTTTTTCACTAACTCTTGCCATTGTTCATATAATAACAATAGGCATTCAGCATTACTGTTTTACTTTAGCTTTATAAATAGCTTTTGATATGTTCTTTATCTTGGCATGTAAAAGCACACAGAATTTTTAAAAATGGAACCGGTTATGATACTTGTGCATTTGCAAAAGTATGTTTAAACTGGCTATTCTTTGAGGGAAGCAAACATGTCTATTTGCATTTTAATGCAAATAGATAGCAGAGAAATAATTTTTGGCAGAAAAGTTCGGTTGTGCCTTGTGATTGCTTTCCTTAAAAAGCAGACAATATGAGTATGTCCTGTGGTACTAGCAACTATCAATCACAGTTCCATATAGGTATTATTAGCACGTGATTGTATTCCTTAAGAAAATGTAGACACATTGAACATGTATAAATGATGATTGATGTCATCAACTGCATTTTTACTAAGAATACCTTCCAATGTCCTTTGATTCACAAAATACAATGCTCAATTGTAAACTGTTTTGAAAAATAATCCTAGAGAATTAAAATCTTGGCCTGTATATTTGCATATAGTACGTCTCTGTAAGCAAACATGTTTTTGCATGTTTCCTTGTTTAATTAAAGTAGAATGAATATACTGAAAGAGCTGTGCTTTCACGGTACTAACTGCATTTTAAATAAAAATAATAATTTTGTTTAGGTTTGTGCTTGAGCCCCTTCTGCCAAAGAAGATGCATTCTCGATCACAAGATAAGTTGGATAAAGATGACTCAGATAAAGATAAGAAAGAAAAGAAGAAAGAAAAGAGAAACAGCAAGCACCAAGAAATATTTGAGAAAGAATTGAAATCAACTGATATTTCTCTGCAGCAGTCTGAAGCAGTGATACTTTCAGAAACTGTAATTATAATTTACTCGTACTTTATTTAAAAAAATAACTTGTGCATTTCAGAATTCAATCTGTCAAAATGCTGGAAGGAGGTGGTTATATTCTAAGGATCTGGCATCATCATGAAGGAGTTTATGCCATCTAGGACTGATTTGAATATCTCAAAACTTATAAATCCTTGTGAATGTAACATAGAGAGGAAGCAGAATAATTAGTATATTCACTTGAAGAAGCCTCTTCTCTAGATAATTTGCCAAGTGATCAGATAGTGCATCTCATATGCTGACATTTGGAAAATTATGCAGCTTTATTCCCATATCTATTTTTAATCCTATACTGTGCCATATTAAAGAGAGTTCAAGGAGTGGAGATTAATCAGTATCCAATAAGTTTTTTCAGGCCTACCATAAACTTTACAATGAACATAAATTATATTCAACCTTTAAAGGAGGTATGCTAAGCACAGTCAAAAGAATCTGCAATTATCTCTATCCAGGGGTATGAAATAATATATTTATAAATATATTTATAAAAGAAATTACTGTTACATCTAACTATTGTAAACAATCGTTTTATTTGTTATACATACATTTGTTTCTACTGTTCAGAAAAATCAGCACAGAATCTTTAAAAACACCGATCTGGAAAACTGCTGTGCTTCTTTGTGGCACAGTAGCAGTGATGGGATTCAAATTTTTTTACTACTGGTTCTGTGGGCATGGCTTGGTGGGCGTGGCAGGGGAAGGATACTACAAAATCTCCATTCCCACCCCAAGGATGCTGTAAAATCTCCATTCCCCATCCACTGCTGGAGGAAGGTTACTCCAAAATCCCATTCCCTCCCCACGCCACTAACCTGCTTTTCAGCTCCATTCTCCTGTGCAGGGCAACAAAAGACCCAGCCGGTCAGCTGGGACTCATGGGGGTGGGGCCAGTCAAAGGTGATATTTGCCGGTTCTCCGAACTACTCAAAATTTCTGCTACCAGTTCTCCAAAACTGGTCAGAACCTGCTGAATACCACCTCTGCACAGTAGATATATTTTACATTAATGGGCTTACAATTTATCATGAGATTTGGAAGTTAGTGAGTAATGAATAGTAAGGACAGTACAACAGAATAACAGAGTTGGAAGGGAGCCTTTACTGTATCTTCCTAATCCATGCTCTCTGATCATTAGGTGAGGACCTTGTCAAATCTGGACTGGATGGCAGTGAGGAAGAGGGATCGATTTTATTGTCCAAAAAACTAGGGGAAAATCTATCCTAGTATTTTTTGAAAAAGGGCACACCAAGATCCTTTTATTAATGCTATTTTATTAATTTGACTAATGCCTTGAGACAAAAGCTTTTTTTCTTATCATTATGATTTTATGATGTACACACTGGAACACACTTATCACAATGTTGACAGCTCATAAATTCACATTTTCTCTCTTATATCCAACAGCTATGCTCTCTGATCAAATTAGTTTTTATTGTGTTTTTTGGCAAATGTAGTATGTAATTTGGCCCACTAGATATTTCTGAATTACAACTCTATAAGCCATCATGACCAATAGTAAGTGATGCTAAGAACTATAGTTTAGCAGTATGTTGTAGATCACTGTTTTTCATTTTTAGTGTAAAATATACTTCAAATTGGTCTAACATTCTCTTTTTCTGCCCAATCAGATCAGCCCGTTGAGACCACAAAGACCAAAGAGCCAAGTTATTAATGTTATGGGAAGTGAAAAACGGTTATCTGTTTCCCCGTTGCCACCTCCTCAAAATATTCCTCCACCAATCACTCCAAGAACCAAGCTTTCTTTCAGTTTACAGCCCAGTAAGTCTAAAAAAAAATTATGTCTAGTTGTATTATTTTAATAAACAAATGTATAGAATATGTCCAGCATATCAACAGTATTGTATATATATATATCTGTCCAGGCCATGCTGCCAAAGTTCTTTTCCATTGCTTAGCGGTTGTGCAGTTCTGGATGGGAAAGAAGCTTCAGTTGAATCCTATTAAGACTGGGGCCTGTGAGTTTTAGCACTCTAGATCTGGAGACCTTTTACTGTTAATTCTGCCTGGATAATATTTAGTTGGTATGTAATCTGGGAGTCTTCCCAGACTCATGGCCCGGAAGCAAATGGCAGCTGTAGCCAAGAGGTATTTTGCATAAATCCATCTTTATGCCAGGTTTATCTATTCCTAGTTTGGGTGTTACCACTCACAGTAATTCATGTTTTAAATGCTTCACAGTTATATTGCAATACACGAGGGCTGTCAAACTCATGGCCCGTGGGCCAGATCCATCACACCTTGGTCACGCCCATGCCCAGTTTAGTGAAGGGGGGAAAAGTCCCAATATGTCATGTGACACTGCCATGATGACGTGAGTTTAATACCCCTGCAATACACTGTACATAGGGCTACCCTTGAAAAGCTTTTGGAACTTCACGTTCATCACCTTCAAAAATTCATCAGGACTTTAGGGAGCAGTGGTCATCTCTGTTTCTTAGCAAAAGGAGCCAGCATTTCCATGGTCATGTGACCAGCATGACTGTATGCTAAGGCACACGGAACACTGTTACTTTCCTACTGAAGAGGTACCTATTTATCTACTCACATTTGCATGCTTTCAAACTACTAGGTGGACAAGTCATGGGAGCTCACTCTGTCATGTGGCACTTGGGTCTCGAACCTGATCCTTCAGCTTTCCAGCTTTACTCCCATCTCCAGTAGCTTAATTTCATTCCACTATATCTGCCAGGGTGGGTATGCTCTGGCTCCCTTTTGTGAAGCAGTGTTGCTTGGCGAAACTTTCTCTGTCAGGGCACTAGTCCTATGAAACAGTTTTACCTTAAGATGGCCCTGAATATTTGGCTATTCTTCCAAGCACTATGAAGGGGATATTAGCGGAGACCTTTAATAATGTTTGGTTTTTAAGGGTAGCCTTGTCTATATTTTTGACTGCTTGCTTTTTGGTTAGCTGCCCAAGGTTCTTGATTAACACATGTTGCTATATGAGCCAGGTGGGAGGAACATTGGGGACAGAAGCGGTCGTGCCTCCTTGGCAAATTGGTGGGAAGGGGGGCTGCATGGGGGTGGCCGGCTCTTCTGGGGCGCCCAAGCTGGCCAGGTGCTCCGGAGCACGGATGCGCCATGGGCTGGAGCCACGCAAGAACCCCACTCAGGCAGAGAGGGAGGGAAGCACCGGCCCGCAGCTCTGCCCCTCTCCAGGTCTTTTGGCATGCACACCCGATACTCTTCCTATTGCTGGACTTTGCGCCCACATGTGCACCAGAAACCAGAAGATCAAGTGGCTGTCGCACATGCATGCATTGGAAACAAGCTCCTCTTCCTGGAATGCGCATGTGCCCCAGGTGGCTGCTCTTCTGGTTTTTAGTGCACATGCGCACGTGAAGTCCAGCTGGCCAGCGTGCCAGAACCCAGAAGAACAAGGGGTGATGGTTCTGCGTGCCTGGAGAAATAGCTCTGTGTGCCACTTCCGGCATGCGTGCCATAGGTTCGCCATCACGGGTATACGATTTTCTCTAAAGGCATCTGAATGCTTTACTTATAGTTTGTTTTTGCTCCTTTTCTGATATGAAGATTTAAGATTTGTCTTGTACCCAATAAGGGCTCTATTCTTTTATTAATAAGTGGGTACAAAGTAGCTAGGTCTCAGCTACTCTTTGGCACAAATGCAGGGAGAAAATAAGACACTTTTCGCTTCAGTATTTGGTAACACAAAAGCTTATTGTTTATTCCTTCCTCCACAAGGCGTCCGAGACAATAGCTAAGCAAACAAGTTGGATCTAACCCGAATTTCCTGGGATTCGATATTTATAATAATTTCCCCTCATTACCCTTTATTACCCCTGATTACCCTTATTACCCATGATTACCATTATTAATGATAATTATTCGTATGAACTCAATCACATGAATTGTGGTTAATGCGTATAGCTTCACCTCACAGCATTTTACATAGACCGCGCATATTATTATGATACAGAGTTTATGCTGATGAAGAGGAATGCCATCCTTCAGGTCGCTGTGGCTTCGATTCAAACGCATGTGTTGTGTAGTCATGACACTAAGTCATGGCAGTCTCATTACTGCTACATGAACACAAAAAACAGGCCCAGTTGCAAGGATTATTTTAAGCGTGAGAAAAGTTGCAATGTCCCAAAAGAAAGAAAATTAAAGAATAAAATATGTGTCAGGAAGATTAGAAAGTTGGTTTTAAAATTGCCCCATTTGGGGGAAAAGCAATAGTATTTATTGCCTTGGGACAGCTGGAGATTGTGTGGCAACAGTATATGGAACTCAATTCCAAGTTGACAGAAACTATAAAAGTCACTGTTGCCTTATTCAGTATCGCAAAGCAGACTACAATTTCCAGAATCTCCTGGCAGCACAGACCAAGCTGAGATAAATTGTTTGTTTATTCGATATGGAATCCACCTCTAGGTACCCTTGGAACCAGTTAGGCGCACTTTCCTCATCTGAGGAACTGAGATTTCATCCCTTTGGCAGGGTTTAACGGGCTGTCTACTTCTCACAATCAGTTCCTGTCTTTTAATACTGCAGAAAGGCAGTTGTCTGCAAGAGTAAAGCTTTAAAAGGTTTGAGATGGATATATTTCATGTGCACGAAGCTAAAGTCTGATGGGCTGCTTCTTGATGGTGCAGGTTCCCAATACAAATTCAGGAAGTTTTACTTACTACTTTTCTGAGGTAGAAAATAAATATGAAATAGTAGTCAGATGAAAGATTTTTCTCCCCCTTTAACTACATATGCCTGATGCCCTTTCCAAGGAGTTTATGGCAGAGTATGTGATTCTTTCCTACCCCCGTTTCTTCTTTCCAACTATCTTGTGAGGTACAATAGGCTAAAAGGCAGACTGGAAGATCTAATTTGAAGTTGGATTTGTAACATCTTGAGGGCCTTGTTTACAAGAATCTGTACTGCAGGAGTGTCAAACTGGATTTCTTTAAGGACCGGATCAGCATTGTAGTTCTCCTCTGTGGGCCAGCCGTGGGGGGGAGGAAGACTGGATGGACCCCTCCTTCAGGACTCTGCCAGCCAAAACGGGGCATGGGGAGGCCTCATGTGGCCCCCCCCCATGCTCCATTTTCAGCCTGGAGGGCCTCCTGTGGCACACTGCTGACCAAAATGGGCCATGGGGGGCCGCACACAGCCCCCACACCCCATTTTGGCTGCCAGAGGCACCACAGGCCAGTCCTTTTAATATTTCCAGGTCAGCTCCACAGGCCAGATTTAAGCACCCCACGGGCCTTGAGTTTGACACCCCTGCTGTATTGCACATTTCATATTGTATGTGACAGAATGTTGCCTTATTTGGAATTAAAGATTTTAACAAACTTCTGGCAATTTTAAAAGAGGCCCTAAATAGAATATATTTGCAATGATATTGCAATCTATTAATTGTTCCTCTTAATACATGAAGCTGTGCAATACAGGTAGTTCTCAAGTTAAAAGGGTTTGTTTAGTGATCATTCAAAGTTACAATGGCACTGAAAAAAGTGACTCATGACAGTTTTTCATGCTTATAATTGTTGCAGCATTCCCATAGTCATATGATCAAAATTTAGTCACTTGGCAACTGACTCATACTTATGACTGTTGCAGTGTCCCGGGTCATATGATCACCCTTTGTGACCTTCTGACAAACAAAGTCAATGGAGAAGTTGGATTTGCTTAATAACCAGAGTACTAACTAAACAATTACAGTGATTCTATGGCAAGAAAGGTTGTAAAATGGAGCAAAGCTCACTTAACAACTGTCTCGCTTAGGGCTCAATTTTGGTTATAAATCAAGGACTATCTGTAGCTATTTACCTCATTTAACATTACAATAGTTTTCCACCATTTTAGTAAAATTATATAGTTATAAATTTAATTCTTTAAATTTTGTGGAAAGAGTCTTTTTAAATTGTGTTTATCCTAGGGAAAAAATTAAAACACTGAATCATTTATAATCAGTAACTAAGGAATAATAAGCAAAAAAGTGTAAGAGGTAGTTTAGTTGACTCTTTCCTCATAGTAGTATTTATAATAATAATATGTAAAAGCATTTGTAGACTTCTCATTCATCGTCCAAAATTCAGTCGTTGATATTGTAAATAAATATCTAGAAATTCCCATCTCAGATGATGCATTTTGTCATTGAAGGATCATTTGCAGTATAGATGCTCCTAATTTTTCTACCTGATGAAATACAAATATGAACCAGCTCTGTCAAAGAAGGAGCAATGGGACACAACTTAAACTTGGATTAAGAATGGTTTGCTGGAAAGGGGGCAAAGATTAGTAATGGCTAACTCTGTAGTATCAAACACATTTAAGGAAAGCTGATTAGCCTCCAAGCTGTGTGATCATTCCACAGGAATCTTGACATTTCTGGTTATTATGGATGAGGTAAAGCAACCATAACAAATATCGTTATAAGTGCACTGCTTATTTCTGTTGAATTTAACCATGAAGAGGCCTTTCAACTTCGCATCTTTCTGGCCCTCACCAAATTATAAAGCTTACCCTCCCAGCATGTCTAAAGCACTCATACTTGTCACAATCAGGACATAATTTCTAATGTGTTCAGGGCAAAAATAAAGTTCAACTTGATTAGCAATCACATATTAGGATAAAAAGACTTTCTTTATGCTATTGGATGTTTCTTGTTGCTACTCTTTCATTTTTCAAATAAGAGATGTTGGGAGGAATTTGTAAAACTAAAAATGTTTCATCTTATTTCATAAAATTATAGATTATGAATGTGAATAATGTGAAAATTATATATTATAGAATGTGAATGATCTGCTGAGTTACCTGCATCTTTATTTTCAGATTCAGAACTAAATGGAATGAATAATTTGGAAATGATGGACATTCCTCCACCATTACCTCTGAAAGGCGGCATGGCAGAGTACGGAAATGTCATGGAGAGCCATGAATCTATTAGCCCTGCCACTTCCCCACCTGTACCTCAAAGGGTAAGTACTGTTGCTAGAAGTAAGTCTACATAATATTCATTGGCTTGGTGAAATATTACATTTATAGGGTAATACACAAAAACAAATTAAAGCAATCTTAAAGCCAGCAATTTTATCATATATTTTGTTTTTGAAACATGCAGTTTTGTCAAATAATTGAGTGAAAATATTGCTGTTTGTAGAGTAATTAGAAGCTATTCATTATATTCTGACACATAGGCACAGTTAACTTTTTTTTCCATGTTAGACCAAAGCATGCAAACAAGCTGAATTGTCAGCCTCAAAATATTTTGATGGTAAAATTATTATATCTGACAGATAATAAAACATGATAAATATGGGTAATATCAGCATACTAATATAGTGGAGAACAGGTTATGTGGGTGGGTGTTCCCTACGTCCATTTGTCAACAAAATGGAGCTTGTAGAACTGCTGTTATCCATCTTTCTTTCCTCCTGAAGCTTCCAGAGTGCCTGAAAATATTGTGAGGTGATTTGTGGCAACGTAACAAAATGCCATCTGGAAACAATCGCGAGGAAAATTATTTCACAATACAAAATTCAGAGTTCCTCCATTAATTTAGCTGCTGGAAAGAGACTTGGCACCCAAAACATCCACTTCCCTTCCTTCTAGCAAGAGAAAGGAGAGAGTAGGGCTCCTGTTCTTCCACTTCCATGAATCTACAGAGACTTGGAAGCTGACAACAAATGACCAACTTTTCCCACTTCTTTCCAGGGAAAGAAGTAGATTTTTTTTTAGTGCTAGGATAACAAATATCTGGAAGGTCTACTTCCCCTCCTGATTCTGCTGTAACTCAGTTCAGCAAAGGAAATGGGAGAAATGGCTTTTTGACCCTTGGGAGTGTCAGTAGGTCAGGAGCCATACAACTAAGGGATTTATTGTGGATACTGTGATACCTATGCTAATAAAGTAGTGCAATCTAATATATTTATTTATTTAATTTGCCCATCTCAAACCAATAATCTTGGGAGGCAAAATATCATAAATTAAAAAAACACTACAAATAGCAGTCAATCTATCTGTATCAGCCTAACCAGGAAACGGGGGCCTTCACACATTCAGGACTGCAAGACCCAGACCCAAGCATAGGCAGGTAGTCCTCAACTTATGACCACAATTGAGCCCAAAAGTTATGTTGTTAAGTGAGAAATTTGTTAAGTGAGTTTTACCCCTTTTTACAACTTACCACCTTTGTTAAGTGAATCACTGCAGTTGTTAAATTAATAAGATGGTTGTTAAGGGAACCTGGCTTCTCCATTGCTTTTGCTTGTCAGACAGTCACAAAAGGGGATCACATGATTCCTGAATACTGCAACCATCATAAATATGAGTCAGTTGTCAAGAGGATAATGTAAATCACGTGACCATGGAGATGCTGCAATGGTCATAAGAATAGAAAGTGGTCATAAGTCACATTTTTCAGCACCATTGTAACTTTGAACGATCACTAAATGAATTGTTGTAAGTTGAGGACTACCTGTATTCACTTCCAGCTAGCCTTGGCCAGACAAGACGGGCATGGATCTAACATGGAAATGGCCAAACTAACCGCTACAAAGACCCTGTCCACTTCCTCAGGATCAGCAGGTTTGAACTCCTCCCATATAACCATGCAAGATTCAGCCTCTGTATCCTCAATTGACCATGCATCAAGGCTAGGGTTCAACATACTTAATGCATACAACATACAAAAAAAACATATAACAGAAAAAATTCAGAGAGGACCAACTAAGATGATTAAAGGCCTGGAGAGTAAAATATATGAAGAAAGGCTATAGGTTTTGGGTCTGGCTAGTGACTAGTCTAAAGAAAAGAAGAATTAAGGGTGACTTGATAGAAGTATTCCAGCATTTGAGGGGCTGCCACAAAGAAGAGGGGATCAAATTATTCTCCAAAGCACCAGAGAGCAGGACAAGAAACAATGGTTGGAAACTAAGAAACCTGGAATTAAGAAAAACTTCCTAACAGTGAGGACAATTAACCAGTAGAAGAGCTTGCCTTAAGAAATCGTGGGTGCTCCATCACTGGAGGTTTTTTAAAAGAGATTGGACAGTCACTTTTTTGAGATGGAATAGGTTTTCCTGTTTGAGCAAGGGGCTGGTCTAGAAGACCTCCAAGTTCCTTCCAGCTCTACTCTGTTCTAATACTGTGAAAATATTCATTACAAAACCAGTATGTTCGGAGAAGTGTAAGAAATATAAGAAATCAAGTTTCAACTTTCTTAATTTTCTTCTCTGTCAAGTCTCTTTCCCTCACTTTCCGTGTGTACTTTATTATGGCTCCTACTTCTCTTCTTTATCTCAATTATTATATGAGAAACTCTGTGAGTTTTCTCACAGTCATCTTGCTGCAAAACACAAAGTTAACCTGTTCATCATTTAAATCTTCATACACTGTCTTTGTTCTGTTCTGCAAAAATATGAATATGTGCCTTCTGGTTGAACTTCATATCCTCTGAATGTTGGGTAAAAATCAGGACGTAATTCTTTTCTTATTCTGCTTTCTCTGTCACATTTCTTCATTCACAAGACTCTTCCATGTATCTATTCCTATCCAATTTCTGCCATCACATTTGCCAGGAGGTTTATATTTTGTTAGGAGATAATCAGGGGATTTCAGGATACGTGCTTCTGAGGGTTTTTTTCTTCATAACAAATGTAGGAAAAATGTTTAATTCTGCCTTCAAGCCGAAAGGCTAATTATGCAGCAGCCAACCAGTTTAAATAAATAAATTGTTGTTTAAATCTGTCCCACCTCTTTCCCCCCTTATACAGGTTTGCTGTATAAGTTTGGAATGCAGTAAGACAGCATTTAATTTATAGCCTTCTGTCTCCAATGTTTTAGTTAAATATTTTTGCTGCCAAAGTAAAGCTGCAGTTTTTGGTAGCATCCAAACTGTTGCCTGTTTAGTTATTTATCCCTTTGTGATTCTGTTTTATATTCTGACTGATTCAAGGTTGACTCAGCCTTCCATCCAAGGTTAGTAAAATGAAGACTCAGATTGTTGGGGGCAATATGCTGACTCTCTAAACCGCTTAGAGAGGACTGTAAAGCATTGTGAAGCGGTATATAAATGCTATTGCTGTTGCTATTCTGTGCTGTTTAACTTCTACATGAACTTCTTGGGGGAGATTATTTGTAGCTTTGAAATAGGCACATCAATATAGTGCTGACATACAGATTCAAGGCTCTAAGGGTGTCGAATCCTACCTAATAGCAATAATAGACTGGTTGAGGAAGAACAAAGTAAAAATCACATCCAAGCATAAAAGGGGTGTGTTGATAAAACAGGACATGAAATTGAAGTGAAACCTATTGTAAAGAAGGTTGCATTACAACAGAAAGGGAAAGTTCTTAATTTAGGTATGTTCTTTGGTTCCCAGCTGTTACTGGATTTACAAATGGACACCTTGGCAAGGAATGTGTTTGCACACAATTATTACTGGAATGCCAGATACATTTCCTTTCTGAGCTGTTCAAATTTTGACAATTATTTTCCAGCCCATCTTTACTTTTGAAGTGAGTTTCACATGCGCTACCTTGAAAATTGGCCAGAAATGATATTTTAATGAACATGTAAGTGACCAGACCACTGATCAAAACAAGAAACTGAGCTCATATGATGCCTGCAGTAAATGGTCCGCATTAGGTATCAGTTCCCTGCTGAAAATAATTTAAACTGTTAAATTAGCCCTTAAAACCCCAAGCAGCTCATAGCCTCTTTATATTTTGGGTATCTTTACATTTGGACTAGATAGACAACTTTAAAAACGTGGGATAGACTATATAATAGGATATAAAAGATGGAGAAATGTGATCCAGTCAGTTAGAACATTTCTTGCTACACGTGGAACAGTCCACGAATAATTAATGTAAAATATACAGGTTAAAGTCAGAAAATTAAAGAGAGAAGTTGTCCCAGCAAGATATGATTTGGAAAACATGCAGTTGGAATATAAGATCAATGTAAGGAATGGATTGACTATGCTTACCTTGTGCAAGGTAAGGAGGTTTGTGGGCTGTGATAAGAGATATTGTGCAAGCAAAGACAGATGAGAAATATTCTCAGTATTTTGAAGAGGAAAAGATCCAAGAGGCTTTTAGAACAAGTTATGATGACAGCCATAGAAAGCTGGAAGATGAAAGCCCTGGTTAAGAACACATGCTTTCTAATGTGAAGCAAGATAGAGATATTTCAGTTAAGAATGTCAACAAAGGAAGAATATAGACGAGGAGGAGGGAGATAATGATAATGATAATTGTCATTATCTTAAAAGCTCTTAGGTTCTTGGTTAGGACTTGAACTGTTCAGTTCTTACCAGTCCCAGACTATGAACTGAATTGAAGAATAAATCTTAAAGAATAGAATAGAATAGAATAGAATAGAATAGAATAGAATAGAATAGAATAGAATAGAATAGAATAGAATAGAA